TTTCCGTGCTGTATCCCGGCCTGAAGCCCGACTGGAGCGGGTCCAGATAGACTGTTTCCTCCAGGTGTCGAGGGAACTGCTGCGCAACCACACTCTCAACAACCTTCGCCACAAAGCGAAGGTTGGAGACCGGGCGATAATTAGCCAATACATCTGGGTCCAGGGAGGGCTTCTTAAGGAGGGGCCTCACCACCGCCTCTTTTAAGGCCGCGGGGAAGGCACCCTCCCACAAAGAAGCGTTTACAATTCCCTGGAGCCAGGCTCGTGTACCCTCCCGAGCCGCCAGTACTAGCCAGGAGGGGCACGGATCCAGTAAACATGTGGTTGCATTCAGCCTCCCCAGGATCCTGTCCACTTCCTCGGGAGCCACAGAGTCAAACTCCTCCCATACAACAGTCTCAAGACCTGCTCCCGTCTCCTCCCCCGGGGCCACCCAGTCGGAGTCAAGGCCTTCTCGGATCCGAGCGACTTTGTCATGCAGATATTGCGCAAAGTCCTCGGCCTTCCCCTCCAGGGGATCCCCCCCCTGGAGGGGAAGTGCATTACTTCTCTGAATTTATGTTTTTTCAAAAGGTGTGTTTTGCCCATTTTCAAAATTATTAATACTTGAAGTTGTGAAGCATCACCTTAAAGAGTATAACTAGGATTCATTCTATATACATTACATAAAATTCACTAAAGTTAAAATGTCCTTATATGTGGGTGTATAAGAATGTTTAGTCTGAACACAAGACTGTATCTTCTGCACAACTCAAATACTCCATAGCTCAATACTACTGCAAAAAGCCCCCATCTCTTGTTTGCTGTTGAACAATATACTCAAATGTGGGATTCAGTAGCAGATCCTAAAATACAGAGAGACTGAGCAAGCAGAAAAATTAACAGACCAGTGAAAGAAAAACTGAAACAGATTATTATTTAATAAACATGCCATGAAGAAATTAAAGGAATGAAACATATTTACCTTGGAATAAGATATCAGTTCCTGCAATTTATACCAATTAATATATAAAACACAATCTTTATTGCCACTTAGGTTAAATGATGCAAACACAGTATTATTAAGGTACCTACATGGTTTTTAAAAGTGTTGCATTAGTAATGATATGAAAAGACAACTATACCAAATGAGAATGATTTAATAACCAAATCCTGCTATTCCTCTTACTTACAGGTTGGCTGTATGATTACACACAGACATATGCAGGCTCCTTCATTTTGACTGGTATATGTTTCCTTGTTTCATCCATTTCATTATTCTTGGAACCTTTAGCCCAAAAATGGAGACAAGAAAGTTGAATCCACTGCAATCCAGATTCTACAATTCTCCAAAGCCGGATCTTGTAGAAGTTATAAATTTTCAATAATAAACTAATTATGGGACAGTGGATACAAGGTGTCTTTCAAAAATATTAATATTCTGCATGCCTATAAGCTATGCTGTGACTATTTATAACTATATATTTCTATGTCATTGCATGTGGTCAAGTAGAACCTGCTCAGCCATTTGTTATGGATGCTTTGATTCCTGCAAACACCAGAGTCTGAGTGCCATAGTCAAAATGGCCTTTTTGACTTGTTGTTTCATTTAGCAAAGTATGTTTGAATCTGAAAATTATTGGAGTTATCATCCAAAGCAAATGGAAAGTTAACTTAGAAATTCCTTCTTGTATCTTGACAGCTGCTTGATCAATATTCCAAAATAGAGGAACAAGGGAGATGCAGGTTTAAATATAAAATTAGTTATGTATAAAATCATAGTGTCACTATTTCTCAGCACAACCTACCTCACAGGTATGTGGTGGGGATAAAGTGAAGAGTTATCTTCATGTAAGTTGCCTGGAGTTCCTGGAGAAATAGCAGGATAAAATGCTAACTATCAGTTTATTCATATTAGCAGGTAATCACTCTTCATTTAAAATTAAGCACACAAACTAAAAAGAAAATATTATCCCTTCTTTCAGAGGGCAAATAAAACTATATTCTGAAAATTTGGACGAGATCACATTTTTCTGAAGAAGAAACTTCCTCCCCACAATATCAGAGCAAATAAGGAAGCAAGTTTTGTAATTCATCAGTTATCATACAAGTAGTCCTCAACGTACAACCACAATTGAGCCCAAAATTTCTGTTGATAAGCAAGACAGATGTTAAGTGAGTTTTGCCCCATTTTTCAGCCTTTCTTGCCACAGTTGTTAAGTGAATCAATGCAACTGTTAAGTTAGTAATATGGTTGTTAAGTGAATATGGCTTCCCCATTGACTCTGCTTGTTAGACAATCACAAGAGGTGATCATATAACCCTGGGACACCATAAATACATGCCAGTTGCCAAGCCTCTGAATTTTGATCACGTGACCATGGGAATGCTGCAAATGTCATAAGTGTGAGAAACGGTCATAAGTCACTTTTTCAGTGTTGTTGTAACTCTGAATGGTCACTAAACGAACTGTTGTAAGTCGAGGATTACTTGTACATTGAGGTTTTTACTACACAAAAGAGAAAGGTTTGAGAATAAAAATCATTTTCACTCCTTTGATATCTTACTCCAACCTTTTCCAAACAACGTTCTCCAGAAATGTCAGCTTATGAGTTCCTTTTAATTTTCAACTAACATAGGTAGGACTTACAATCCAGCAGCCCCAAGGTACTATGTAGGGAGATCTACGGGTGCAGTTATTCAGTATCTCTTTAAAGTGTGAAACTGGAAAAAGCTAGGCATATCAGTAGCCACCAGAATTAGAAAACTTCAGTTGCCTTGACTTTGTGTCCAACAATATTCACCCAAAAGTACAAAGAAAATGTTTGAATTATTATATGAACGTGTCTAACATATTACAAAGTTTATATAATAAGATTGCATTTGTTCAGATCTGAAAATCATTGTGGTTTGTTGCATATATGTGTACTTACATCACTTCCTAATATGTGTGTGAGGTGAGACACAAATTTGGAGGAGACTAAGACTGTTGTAGAAATATATACAGTGGATATAAAAAGCCTACACTCCCCTGGTTAAAATGCTAGATTTTTGAGATGTAAAAAAATCAGACCAGGATAAATCACTTTAGATTTTTTTCCACTTTTAATACAAACTATAAGCTATACAACTGAAAAACAACTTTAAATCGTTTAGAGGAGGAAATAAAAATAAAATACTTACAATAAAATGGTTGCATGAGTATGCGCACATCCTTTCAGAAGCAGGGCTATGGCTGTGTTACAAATTAACCAATAACATTCCAAGTGATGTTAGTCATTTACAGGTTGGCCATACATACTTGCCATCAATTAAAGTGACTCTGATCAAGCCTATATAAAGTTCAGCTGTTCTAGTCAGATTTTTTTTTTGACATTTACTCAGTTGCCTCTTACAACAAAAGCCATGGTCTGCACAGAGCTTACAAAGCATCAAAGGGATTTCATAGGAAGGTATCAATCAGGAAGAAGGTACAATTTTTTTTCCACGCATTGTCTATACTATGGAACTACAGTGAAGACAGTCATCCACAAGTGGAGAAAATATGTCACAGCAGAAGAACTGGATGTCCCTCCAAACTTGATGAAAAACCAACAAGAAAACTGGTCCAAGAGGCTGCCAAGAGGCCTACAGCAACAATAAAGGTTAAAAAAAAAGTCCCTGTGGATTTTACTCTGCTAGTTATTGTCGTCTATACGGGGCAGTACTCATCTTCATTTCAAGGCCATTGAGCCAGAGCTGTCCGAAAGACGTTTCCAAGGTCATGTGGTCAGCAGGGCATCACAGAATGCTGTTATCTTCCCACCAAAGTGGTACCTATTTCAAGATCCGAGCTCCACACGACAGGGTGAGTTCCTGTCCTCGCCCCAGCTCCTGCTAACTTAACATTAAAGGAGCTGCAGGAATTTCTGGAAAGTACTGCTTGTGTACTAGATGCGACAACAATCTTCCATATTCTTCATCTATCTGGGCTGTGGAGTAGGGTAGCAAGACGGAAGCCTTTTCTTTACAAAGAAAAACATCCAAGCCCGGCTATATTTACAAAAACCTATATCAAGTCAGACAAAAGCATGTGAGAAAATAAGCTGTGCTCTGATGAGACCAAGGTTGAACTTTTTTGAATTCCAAAAGTATGTTTGGTGCAAAAACAACACCGTGCATCGGTGTTGTTTTTGTACACCATACCCTAGTGTTCATTGTACCCACAGTGAAGCATGGCGGTGGCAGCATTATGCTTTGGAGCTGCTTTTCTTCAGCTGGAATAGGGGCTTTAGTCGAGATGGAGGGAATTATGAACACTTCCAAATATCCATCAATTTTGGCACAAAAACCTTCAGGCCTCTGCTAAAATGCTGAAGATGAAGAGGAATTTCACCCTTCAGCACAACAATGACCCAAAGCATATCTCCAAATCAACAAAAGAATGTCTTCCCCAGAAGATGATCAAAGTTTTGGAATGGCCCAGGCAGAGTCCGGACCTGAATCCAATTGAAAATCTGTAGGGTGACCTGGAAGAGCGCTGCGCACAGGAGACGTCCTTGCAATCTGACTGATTGGAGCACTTTTGCAAGGAAGAGTAGGCAAATATTCCCAAGGCAAGATACGCCATGCTGATAGACTCCTACCCCAAAAGACCGAATGCAGTCATAAAACCAAAAGGTGCTTCAACAAAATATATATTACTTTAAGGTACACTTATGCAACCACGTTATTGTAGGTGCCTTATTTTTATTTTTTCCTCGAACAGATTTGTTTTTCAATTGAATTGTAGAGTTTTTCAACTGAGTTGTATATTAAAGGTGGAAAAAAATCTGAAGTGATTTATCTTGGTCTGATTTTTTTTTTATATCTCAAAAAACTGGCATTTTGACGGGGGTGTACAGTTAGTACTCAACTTACAACCACGATTGAGCCCAAAATTTCTGTTGCTAAGCAAGACAGTTGAGTTTTGCCCCATTTTATGATCTTTCTTGCCACAGTTAAGTGAATCACTGCACCAAGTTAAGTTAGTAACATGATTAAGTTAATCTTGCTTCCCCATTGACTTTGTGATCAGATGACCCCGGGACCCTGCAACCGTCATAAATATAAGTCAGGTGCCAAGTGTCTTGATTTTCGTTCACATGACTGTGGGGATGCTGCAACAATGTGTGAAAAACGGTCGTAAGTCCCTATTTTCAGTGCCACTGTAACTTTGAAGATTAACTGAACAGTTTTAAGTTGAGGACTACCTATATAGATTTTTATAGCCATTGTAATTTATATCTTATCAATTTCAATATAGATGATAGGAAATATTTATGCCTGCCTTATGCAATTTGGATAACTATTACCAATTGTAACTAACTGTTTTACAAATGCATTGGGCTGGAATTCCCAAGCTAACACAACCACTGACCATATAATTGAAATTCAACGTAAGTCAATGGGTAGAAAACAGTCTGATCTAAGGTTCTATCACTATTATCTTTAATTAGAGATCATTTGCCTAAACTAGGAAAAGCATTATATACTGCGTGAACACATACTTCTAAATAAGTATGGAGCATGTGAAATTGGCTTTCTGCTTAGTGAATAGAGCTGTTTCACACTGAACCAGCAGTTAAATCTTGCATAACATCATCTTGCATAATGTTATATCCTTTTCATACTTACATTTGCTGTGAATTTTTTAGAAAAAAGTGCCACGTTGATGACACTTTTCTATTTGTATACTTAATGTTTCCAGTTGGAATCTGATGTACAGTTGTTTTCTTGTGTCATATGTGCTTTACTTGGTTCTTGCAACTGCCAATTTCCTAGCAATGTGAAGGAACTCACTAACCAATACAAAAAGATATTTGCACTCTAGCAGGTAGCAATATCATTGCTACAACAGTAGAATGTATTATTTTTATCTGACGGCAATATCAGTTAAAGGAACACAGCCCTTCAGTCACTTATGGTGGTTTCTCATACATTCAAGTTTCTTTTCCATTTCACACTTACAGTAGTCCATTATCTTACATGGCTCTTGGGCACTATCTGGCTTGTTCAACCTCCCAATGTGCAGCTCTATAATGACTGATAGTATTAAGAGTGCCTACCAATTTCATTTCCCTAAGATTGAATTATAATTATTATTATATAATTATTATATAATTATAATAATCATTTGTTAAGCTTAAATGCTTGTTTATTTGCTGGTAAAGGCCCACTTTGAATGAGAATCTTCTCCTGAGCAGTACAGAGGTAAAAACAAAAGTACTGAAATGGATCCCAATATTAACGAAATAAATTCACTAAGCCTACCCAGAAAATACCCGATCCATCCATAGAATGTTTCACAAAAATAGCAAGAAATATAGTTGGTTCCTCACCTTTTTCAGTATAAACTTGTTCCTCTTTAACAAAAGAAGCAAGGGAAACAATCTTGATTCTAAGCATGCCAATGTGAACAGTGGTCAAGAAATTTGTGTCAGCTGAAATTCTGCTCTGATAGTCTAATTCAGGGGTGTCAAACTCACAATGTCTCGTGACGTGTCGCAACATATCATGAGTTTTTCCCCATTGCTGGGGTGGGTGTGGTTTCGGCAGGGCCAGCAGTTTGACACCCCTGATCTAATTGATCACTATGAGATTTGTGCTTATTTATGAATATTGCCACTTTTCCATGCAGATATGCAAAAAGCATTGTTTCAAGTTGTCAAACCGTGTTTATATGATTTATGATATTGTAAGGATTGTATATAATCTTTAGAATCACCAATTCCCAGTTTTCATCAGAATGGGAAGAAAAATACAGGTCATCTGTTTTTCCTTATATTTACTATTACTAATTGCCTAAGATGTCATCCACAGAATAAGGCAATTTTGAACATTATTTTCTGCGGTTTTAGCTCTAGAATGGTTCTTTAAATCAAATGAATGAAATACAGCATGCACTGAAGTGATATCTTCTTCCTGGCTATTTCCTTTTTTTTTTTTTCAAATCTGCCGCACCTGCACTATCACATTCACTGGAAATGTTAAACTATTTAATGCGGACATTTTCACCATTGTCCCACCATAATTTACCTACGTCATCACTGCTTCCTACAAAATTTAAACACATACCGTATGTCTATCTAGACCCATACCAGTCGGGCTTCAGGCCGGGACACAGCACGGAAACGGCATTGGTCGCGTTGGTTAACGATCTCTGGAGGGCCCGGGACAGAGGTTACTCCTCTGTCCTTGTTCTTTTGGACCTCTCAGCGGCTTTTGATACTGTAGACCACGGTATCATGCTGCGGCGTCTCGGTGGGTTAGGAGTGGGAG